TGAGTTTATGTCTCGAACCAAAATAAATTTGACTTTATATTACGAATCCTTGTTATTCTAGAAACTAACTATGATATTTTTTAAATTACCAAAAAACCAATAAAAATATAGTAAAATAAGACTAAAAGGGTATAAAAGTCGATCGATATTTTAGGGATATTTTAGTCGTTCAATATTTAGCGTGAAACATTCATACTTTTATAATAAAATATAGATAGATAGATAGATATAGATATGATTGCAAATATATATTTAGTTCAACCTTGCCTCTTCGATGACTATATATGTTTTTTATAATCATAATGTATGGATTAGGTTAGATGCACTTTGACTAATTTTTCGATTGGGCTCTTGGGTCGTCCGGACCTATATATAGTAAAAGTGATGACCTGGTTGTCCCCAGACCCCTGCTCTTGGGTCGTCCGGACCCATATATGGTAAAAGTGGTGGCTTGTATGTTCCCACACCCCTTATCATACATGTTTGTGTTTTTGGCGCTCGCCTTATGGTCCTTAGTCCTCTTTGTCCTCTTTTGTCGAGATGCCTTTTAAAAAGAATTTTTTGCGTGCCGGAACAAGACCCACTATACTAAATTTAGCTCGTTCGAGTAGGGGATTCCCCAATAGATTTTACATATTAGGATTTGGATGCCCCTGCACATAAACATATGGATATGAATGTCCATTTAGATGCGGCTAGAAAGGCTCTTTTGAGCGATGATGACCATGATCATGACCATGACCATATTAATACTAACTCATTCTACAGCTTAGATAGCTCCAGTCCTTGAAATCAGATCCAACAATTGATAGTAGAAATAAAAGCCAAAGTAATATATGTTGTTTCTCATTATATTTAATGTAAGAAAAATCTTTTTGGTTACATCAAAACAATACTAGTTCGTTACTCGTTATATTTTTCTTTTCAGCAATCGAGCATAAATCTAATTTAATTAAGTAAAAGAACTCAAACCATCCAAATTAAAAATCTTAACTTTACGAATTAAAAGTTAAACAATTGTAACAAAATTGAAACTTTATGTATTTTAACAAACAAAGGAGACAAATTAAGAACTACTTTTCTAGACAAACATTGAATTACACTAACGCCGAAAATAATTAAAAGAAAAAAAAAAGCAGACAAGGGAAAAAAATAGAAATATAAAAAGAATTAACCTAAATAGCAGCCCATACAAATAAAAATAAAAATTACTCAAAAGCCCAAGCATTCTCTCTACGAACTTCCTCTTCTTCCTCAGGGGTATAATCATTTATTATACCAAATTTCTTACGTATTTCTTCTGGACTTTTTTCCTTTCATCATATTTGCAACCTTTTCACACAATAAATCCAAAAGCTGTTTTGTCTCTAAATAATTAGCTGCAAGAATTAAACCAAACAACATCTCTAAATCTTCTTCAACTTCTTTCAAAAATTCATCGTTCAATTCTTTCAACTCGCGCACACTGTTAAAGTCCGCTGTCACATTAGCGTGTTTTTTCCAGTATTCGATAACTTTGGCTAAGATTTTGCTGCTTACGACGGGCAATGGAATCGCGCTATCAGCGCAGCCATCTACCACCATGTTCTTGATTGTTTGTGCTTGAACAGCAACATCTTCTTCCACCTCAAACTCTTGCCCGTCCGAAGATTTAAGAATCAACATCTTTTTTGCTGAAGACATATTGGCTAAAATTTATGAATAAGAGAAGAAGAAGAAAATTAATGTTGTATAGGTGGTAATTGGTGTGTATGGATATAAATAGTGTTTATTTAATTCGAATTCTTGTGTAATAAGGAATAGGGTTTGTGTGCCGAGGTTACGTTGCTCTTTCAATTCTTGTGGAATAAGGAATTGAAAGTAATAAAGAATATGGAATCTGTCATAGTATATTATTAGGTTTAGAAAATTGATGAAATAGTAATACTTAGTAAATTTTTTCTTTACTTAATTAATATTGCTTATTTTTGATATATTTTTTCTTTCTATTCTTGTGGAATAAGGAATTTTAATTAAAAAGAATATGCAAATCTGCCATATTAGGTTTAGAAAATTGTTGAAATGGTACTTACTACTTAGTACATAAAAAAGTTATTGCCATATTTTTTTTTGGTAACTAATTTTTTTTTATTTACCAAGTAAATATGCACAAGCAGATCAAACAAAATCCATAGCAGGTTTGAACAAATGGCCCCAAACCTGCATCTTCATCTCATTCTAATACTTCTATCCCTATTGCTGTGCTATTCTACATACAATTTTAAGGGTAAAAATCCAACTTAGTCATCTTCCTTCGTAGCCTAACACATGAGGTGCTTCGACAATATACCTCCTGGATAATGTGCCTTACTATACTCATCATTGCTTTACTCTTTCCTTGGAATATTCTCATATTCCTTTCTATCCATATAGCATATATAGTTGCTGCCAACGCCATCTGTAAATATGAGCTTCAGCAGTTTTCCCTTTTCCCTGTTTTATAGTCCATTCCTTCTCAACTTGCCAAGTCATAGGCTGCCTAGCCAAACCTTGCCAATGCAGAATCATATTCCATATAGCAGCTGATACTGTACATTCGAAAAATAGATGTTCAATGATCTCTAGCGCTGCTTGACATAACATACACCTTAAATCCCCAAGTTGCTTCCATTGTGCCAATCTGTCTCGCGTGAGTTGTCTGTTATTCAAAGCCAGATATAATATAAAAATCCATCTATGTGACCCTTGATTGTTGCATATAAACCGTCTCCATTTAACCTTAGGAAACTCCCCTCTCAATTTATTATAAATCACCTTCGTAGAGAACTGTTGCATGTACTGTACATCATCCTCCATATAACCTACATTTGTATAAGTTTCCTTAGCCTTCAATATTTTTCTCACCACCCATGAAGCCTGTGTTGCTCGTTCATTCCAAATAGGTCCATCTTTTTTATAGTAGCTGTGAATCCATTGGACCCATAACTTGTCTTTCTTTCGACAAAGATTCCAAAGCATTTTACAAATGATAACCTTGTTCCAAGTGCTCACATCCAAGAAGTTGAGTCCTCCTGCTATCGTGGGACAACAGAGTTTGTCCATCTTATTAATGCTTTCTTGGACATGTCTACACCCCATGTCCAAAGAAATCTTCTACAAAGTGATTAAATTACCTTCACCATTTTCTTTGGCAAGATAAATACCTGAGACCAAAACACCTGTACCGAGAAGAGGACAGATTTGATCAACTGTACTCTACCAACATAGCTTCATAGTTTTAAGGTCTATGAAGTGATTCTACCTATAATCTTATCAAGAAATGGCTTGTATTATAAAACCGATGTCCTTTTAGTACTCAGGGAAACCCCTAGGTACCTAAAATGCATCTCTCCTTTTGCAAATCCTAGGACTTGTATTATATTGTTCTACTCTTCCTCATGCACTCCTCCAAAATAAATGGAGCTTTTGTCTATGTTTTCCTCTAGACCAGATGCTTTGGAGAACTTTTGAAAATAATCAAACACCGTATTTACATACACTACATCCCCACTGCTAAATAACAGTAGGTCGTCTGGAAAACTCAACTGTACAATATTCAGTCTTTCACACTTAGTATGTTAGTTGAAATCATGTTGCCTCTTTAGTGTCTTCAAGATTCTAGTGAGGCACTCCATGTCTAACACAACCAGAAAGAGAGACATTGGGTCCCCTTGCCTTAATCCCTTTTTGGCAGGGAAAGGGGCAGTAGGGTACCCATTTATGATGACTAAATATGAAACCAAACTTATACATGCATCACCCATTATACAAATTTAGTAGGAAAGTAAAGATAAGTGAGGATCTGTTCTATAAAACACCACTCAACTGAGTCGTAGGTCTTTCTAATATCTATCTTCAACATGCACCAAGGTGACACCCCTTTCCTTCCATATCCCTTTACTAATTCATGACTCATTATAATATTGTCTGTGATCACTCTCCATGGTACAAAGGCTGATTGGCCCGGATCAATAACATCATTCATTACATCTTGCATTTTATGTGTCAGTATTTTAGAGATGATCTTGTACAATATCGTATAGCAAGAGATGGGCCTAAACTCAGAGTTTCTAGCTGGATTTTGTACCTTTGGGATCAGTGTTATTGTAGTGCAGTTGAGGGTTTTATACATGACCCTTGTGTCAAATAATTGCAACACTGCCTTAGTAATCTCTTCTCCTACTACATGCCAAGTTTTATTTAAAGAAATATGCATTGAAACCATCACGCCCTGGTGCTTTAATGTCATCAATATCTTTGAGATCTTGGACCACTTCATGTGTAGTTACAAGTGCAATGAGGGCTACTTGATTTTCTCTGCTCAGTACTCTTCCTTGTTTCATAATCATGGGATTTACAGCTGGTAGTTGGGTAGCAGCAGATCCCAGTAACTTTCCATAGAGCCCCAGTACTTTACTTTTTATACCTCCTTGATCCTGAACCATGTTCCCGTCAGCATTGATTAAATTCTTGATCTTGTTTTGTGCCAACCTATTCTTCATGTTAGCAAAGAAAAAAGCATTATTTAAGTCTCCTAGTTTTAGCCACTGTATTCGAGCTTTCTGACAGAATATACTTTCCTCAATATTGCTCCATTTCTCAAGCTCTGATTTTAGTGCTCCTTCCTGATCAAATAATGTATGCCCAGGTCCCCTCATTTGAGTTTGCAGGTCTGCTAGTTGTTGTCTTAGTCGACTCACTTTCTCGCTTACCCCATTAAATTCTACTTGATTCAATTTCTTCATCTCATGTTTAGCTGCTTTCAGCTTCTGCCAGACTTTACTCATGCCAATACCATTATTTCTTTGATTCCACGCTGCTGCCACTGCATGTAGGACATTTTTATGCTCATCTAAATAATTAAGGAATCGAAAAGGCCAAGGTCCTCCATGTATCTCTTCTTCAAACTTGATACATAAGGGGGTATGATCTGAAAATTTTGGGTTCAAGATGTTAACCTCCAAGTGATGATATTTGATACATCATTCTGAGTTGACCAGTGCTTTGTCAATTTTGGTATAGATATGAGTGTTTGTCCAATTATACTCTCTTCCTACTGATTTCATTTCAGTCACTCCAGTATCAAAGAGATAGTCACTAAAATCCTTAGTTTTTATCTCAGTGACATGATTTCCATATTTTCTATCTTCAACCTGTAATACTGCATTATAATCACCCATGGCAAGCCAAGGGCCCTGCTGTGAACTCTGTATACTCCTTAAAGCTTCCCACAACCCTCTCCTGTCTTCTATTATGTGCAAGCCATACACGACTATAAAATGAAATTCCATGCCCAAATTACAGACTGTAACTTTTCCATGAATAAACTATTCTGTCGTCTGCTCAACATCAAATTTGACTGCATTTTGGTCCCATACTATCCAAATTCTGCCTCTCCTATTGTGGTTGTAATTGTGACACCAGCTCCACCCATTCTCTATCTTCCTTAGAATTGCTGCAGCATTACTTTCTTTGACTCTATGCTCTATTATTGATATCATTACTATATTATTATTCTTCATAAACATCTTTAACTCCTTTTGCTTATAGGTCTTATTAAGATCTCTCACATTCCATGTAGCTAGCTTCGTGTGGGAATGAACATATGCGTATCATTTTCATCCTCCCATTGTCTTCCTCCATTCATTCTTGTGTTATTTATCATCCCTTCTCCTTCAAGCAATATATTAGGTCTACTCAGAGGATCAAATCCATTCACCACTTTAACAGGCTTCTTTCTCCTAACTAGTGCAGTAGGAGTCATTTTACCTTTACCAAAATTATTCTGCTGCCCTATATTATAGCTCCCCTTTGTAGCTGACTTGTTTCGAATTATTTTCCATTGGACTCCTTGTAATTGATCACCCTCAGCATTGGATTCTTTGCTTGTTCCTTCTATCTCATTTTGCTTTCTCTCAATCTGTTTCCCTTTTGCCTTTTCCCCTTGAATTTTTGGTGCATTCTGCCCCTCATTCCCTTGATTGTTTCCTGTGCGTCTCACCCACTGCTGCTTTGGTTTTGTAGCTCCACCTCTTTGCTTCCCTACAAGTGGCTTCTTATTCTGAATCGGATTGCATGAATGCCCAGCCTGTAAGCAAGTATAACAGTACTCCGGTACCTAATCATATACTATCTCTTGGTCATAAACATCTCCCGTCAGATCTTTGACCTTAATAGTCTTTGGTAAAGGCCTAGTAGCATCCATTTCCACTAGTAATCGAGCATATGAAATCTTTTCCACTTTTTTCGTGCATTCAACTACATAAACAGGAACTCCAAGCCCACTTCCAATTCTGCTTAGTATTTCCCTTTCCCAATAACTCATAGGCAAGTTCGGCAGTTTCACCTATAGAGGGATCGTTTGCAAAACTTCACTATGAAAATTAAACGTAGGTGCCCAAGGTTTGATGATAATTGGTTTGCTATTTATCGTATATGGCTTAGAACATAGAACGACATCTTTGTCTTCCAAACTATTAAAGTGAACTACAAAGTATCCATCATTATGGTAAAATACCTTTGGCTTTAGGGCAAAATTCCATGTTGCAGCAATAAATCTTTCTAGGGCTCCAATAGTCGGATCCTCTCACACGACATATATGATTAGGGCTTGACTCCATTTTGCACTGCCTTTCTCAATTTCCTCTTTATTAAGCTCAACGATCTTTTCTCCATCTTGTATGATTGGGGCAATATATGTAAGATTCATCCCCCTTTCTGCCATTTTGTTCCTATTAAAGAGTGTTTCCCAGTCCCTCTTCTCCCCTGGCTATGCATTAAGAAGCTTATTTTGTGCTTTACTCGCATCAATTTGTAATCCCCCGGGGTCAATAGACAGGCCAATTGCTCGTCCTTCAATTGATAAGCTCCTCTTGCTCGAACCTTCACCTCCTGGTATAGCAATTTGGATTTCCCCTCCTTTGGATCCCGTTAGCGGCTGATTGCTTAGGGTTTTTCCTTGGATTACCACTCCTACATCTGTAGGTGGTGTTTGCAATAACGTAATCCGTTGCTGTTCCGGCACCGGCTCTACACCTCGTATACCCCTAATTGGTGTACCACTAGGTGTTTTCAGTCCTGTGTTACCTTTTCCCAATTTCTTTATGCTACGCACTCCCAGAGCTTCTTTGATTACCTCCGCTGCATGTCTAGAAGCTACTTTGGTAGCTTTCGACCGCCTGATAATGCACAACTATGCCTTATAAAAAGGACTAAGCGGTCGTTGCAAATATAATCCGGTTAACAAGTCCGAAGTTGAATCCCACAGGGAATTAACCTATTAAGCACAGGTACTAGACTCGCACAAATTCGCGCAATCAATATTCAGGAATATTTAAATAACAAATTGGATATTTACTAACTAAATATCACGTAATGAAAATACAGTAATTAATAACTAATTATGAACCGGTTGTAGACAAGAATTGGAATGATATAAGGTTATAATTTCCCATATTGTCGGAATCCTTTCCTCTATGTTTCCTATAAATTTGCCTAAGTTTTCTCTACCGATCATGAGCGCTCTGAGTGTCGTAATTCTCTCCTGAGTAACAATCACAATTTACTAGACATATTCTTCCAAATTATGCTAGCTGGCACAAAGTACGGCTCACTCGATCGCACCAAGGTTTCGTTATTCCTAATCCCACCTTTAAACCCTTCGTATTGATCCCTCATATACTTTAGGAGTGATGTTGTTCAACAACTACCTAAATATTCACTTTCTTCCGAGTAATACACACTAATTAGGCATAGTCGTTTGAGAGCTCTTCAACCAACCACAATAATAACGTAGTTGAAGAAATAGAGAAAATACTACGGCAAATCTATATTAACGTAACAGGAAAATCATCCTTCAATAGGTTTCATCAAAACCCTAGATTATGAGTTTAGCCACTCATACTCATAGTAACAATATCACACCTATTTTGCATAAATAAATTACAAAGTAAAGATGTAGGAATGTAGAAATCGATGATTCTATCTCCTAACTGGTGTTCCACGAGCTATTCTTGCCTCCGGTTGTAAAACTCCTCCAAAAGTGGTGTTTTATGTCTATTTATATGTGTAGAAAAAGACCTAAATGACATAGGTCAAGTCCTAGTCAAACCAGGAGATGAAATAAGCCTTCAAAATCTGGAGTAAGCGCACCTTAGACCATGCCTCGCGAGGCTCCACGCGAGATCAACCTCGCCTAACACTGTGCAGCGCCAGCTCCCACGCGAGCTCGAGATCGCCTCACCCTTCGCGATTTCTGCTCCTACGCGAGCTCATAGGCTCGCATTGCCAGCTTCCACGCGAGATCAAAGGGTTGCCTCGCGAGCTTATTCATCTTTTCACTGCTTAATGCATTCTTTATTCTTTCCACAGTTCTCAAGCACACTTTATTCTTTAAATCATCCTTTTGCTATAATTTCATCTCTAATTCACCTACACATAAAATAGACTCCATTAAGAGAAAATAAAGTGTAGTTTAACATTAAAGCACATATAATGCAAGGTAATTAATGTACTAAGATATGGAATTATAGCTACACATCAATACCCCACACTTAAACATTGCTCGTCCTCGAGCAATCAACTACACTTATAGATACGACCTTTTTAAGCAATTCCCTTAACTCATCACACCATGAATCTTTTAAATAGACTAAGCACAAAGGTGTAACATCCTTACCTCAAAATTTGACTCACAATTACCATGCCTTATTCACAATGCACTTACTTACTCTAACATGGAGGTCAATGACATTACCTTTCCTTTATGAATCACGTGCCCTCACCCAACAAAGAGCTTAGTTCCACACACAATGAGTTTTAAGAACGTAAGAACTCAAGATAGGAAAATTCACTTGCTCTTAGAAATAACATTCATATGCCACAAATGATACATAGGCTTGCTCGTAGTGTCATACTCTACTAATCGAGCTCATTCAGTCTAGGATCAAGTAGGACTTTAATTGGTTGTAAGGTAGGCTGTGGGTCGGGTAGGATACATTTGGATATGAGTGACTACACCTCCCTTAAGCACTTTAATACATATACTTTAACACTCAAGACCATACTTATGTCAAACCAAAACTCCACCTTTACTTCCATGTATAATACCCCATACTTCTTTAAGCACAATTACATCACTAGCCACCATCATCAAGAATTATTTTTCATACAANATATATATATATATATATATATATATTCTTCAATCCAAGTGGCTTTTATTGATATATTTTTTTCAAAACGGTGCACCTTTATCCTTATTTCATTTGTTCCACTCAAAAGCCAAACCACCACCCCACACTTTAACGTTTACATAATTCATCACAATTTAAGTGCTCATGAGAGGTGACAAGATTCAAATATATGGTCGATTCAAACAAAAGGGTAAGTCTTGTAATGTGGTTATCAAAGAAGAAGGATTATAGGCTCAAAGGGTTTAACTACGTTACATAACATTTAGGTGGGTCAACTATATATATTTGGCTCAACAAAGAAACGCCTATATCACTTCCAAGACTGAACAAGACTACTATTTCGCTTTGCACACACACGGGGCAAGTTCTTGACATAAAATGCAATGCACAGAATACATACAAACCTCACACGCACATGGCACATAACTCACTCATGATTGGTTTTAGCACGACACTCCAGTCAAAGCAGTTAAGCAAATATAAGAATCTATGATTTAAGGTACTTATACTAGAGTCAAAAACTGAGCCTAAGCGTCACAACCAAAGTACTCACTATTCTCAAGGCATAACACCGTCAATATATATCGCTGCAATTCAATTCATATCCCAGTGGTTTCTACTCCTAAAAATTAAAACTAACTACACCCGGTTCAACTAAAACCCTTGGAAAAGAACTGCGGTCCAAAGAAAAACTAAGGGGGAATTACTACACTACCTATAAAGAAAATCTCTTTTTTCTTTAGACTTTATTCCCTCAAGAAAACTATCTAAGAGATCCATCGTCAGGAAGAGTCCAATTGTTTTCTACTTAGCAAGACGACACTACACAATTGTTTTTAGAGAGCTAAGACGACACTAACTAAAACAAAATTAGTACATTATAACAACAAAAAGAAAAAAAATATTAACTAAAACAAGACTACTATTTACAAGTTACCACCCCACAGTTATTTCTCATGCAATGTCCTCAGTGCATTCACAAACTGACAAAATAAGAAAAACAATGAGTAGGGTGTAGGAAAACTCCCTGATCAAGCCGCGTCATCGCCATCCTCCTCAGAGGCTGCCCACTCCTTGTATTGCTCTTCCTCATCCTCCTCCTCCTCATCCTCATCATCTGACTGCTCCAGCTCGACCTCGGACTGCTCAGGTGTGTTGACATCCTCATTATCTGGGAGTCTGTATCCATCACCAAGCCCAACGAGCGGCTGAGCATGAGCATTGAGCGGGAATACTTGCTCCAATATGGCCCTCTACTCTGTAGTGGCCGTCCGTCCCCTGATCCGATGTTGCAAGTCCATCATCCCATATAAATGTGCCATAAAGCTGTCATCGCGAGCATTGCGCTTGGCACCTGTTAGTGATAGAATCGCATCCTCCTCCTTAACCCGGATACTTGTAATGTCAATTAGTCGTTGGGGCTGATCAATGATGTGATCAAAAGGTTTTTCCTCCTCAACCTCTTCGTGCCTCAAGAACTGAGTAACATATTTGCAAATGGCATTCGATCGATCCTCTTACTAGTTCTTACTAGAGACATCTGGTAGCGGATCAAATTACCCACATTCACCTTCTGACCCGTCATGAGGAAATATAGCACACACGTCCTCTCACGGCTAATAAACGTGTCATGATTGCAAGGTAGGAGCCGTGTATTAATCAGTTTCAGCCATACTTGAGCCTTTTCCCTGATCTTCTTCTTGGGGAATTTCCTGTGCCGATTTGTTTTCTTATCCCGAACCCAAGCTGTCATAGAATTGACACCACAAAGAGTGTGTCTCAGCTCTCGATATGTAGGATGGGCGATGAAGTAGTCAAATGGCTCCTGAGGAACATCCGGAGCACCTAAGAAATTACATATTGCCGTGGCTAAAAAATCTATCAACCGTCCACGAATCGGCACCAATTGTTCAGGATCCTTTGGATCAAACCCGACATAGAATTCACGAACCAGATTAAGATTTATTTCTCCTATATTTTTGAACACATAACTCAACCCCAACTCATAGATGCCTCTCCAAATCGCCTGGTACTTGGCTTGCAGGCGACGCTCATGAATAGCAGCTTCTGGATGTACATGTTTTGGCCTATAATGCCTGTACCAATCTTTAGTATGTGAGGGGTATGATTTTTAGTCAAAACTCCCGCTGCCCTTGAGGTTGTGGACAAGTGAATGCTATAGCTGCCATGGGTTGCAGTCCTTCAACTTGACTTGAAGTGGCTTCACCCCCTTTTCTCTTCATTGGTAGAGGTGCGGAGGAAGCCTTAGCCTTAGACAGAGCAGTGGATGTGGCTTTGCCTTTACTGGTGTCCTTCCTTGGAGGCATGTTTCTATCTACACAAGTGAGCATTAATCAGTTTAGGATGCATTACAACATTCAAAACATGGTCTTGCGACCCCACACTTAAGAGTTAAACACGTGATTTTTCATAATTTTCGAGGTTACTCAGACTTCACCTCATATTTTCTTAGCATGAGAATAAAGCAATGACACATGGGTTCTTCCTATAATTTCAAAGCATCGGGCTA